AAGGGCAGCCCCAGGTAGGTGACAGCCCTGTGCAAACTCCAGGCAGGGATGGGGTTTCCCCGCGAAGCAGCCGCTGCCTGGACAAGTTTAGATGCTGTTTCGTGTTAGGAACAGTTGTCACTTAAGAGCACGCGAGGCTAATTGTAACTGATTAGTTGATTGCCTTTAATTATTCCACGTTCTTAAGGCCTCTTTTTTTTTTTTTCTAGTTGTCACACGTATTAGGAAAGATGAGATTTACCTTTGCTTTGCATTATGCTGAGTAACAGCCAAAAGAGATGAGCCCAAATTAATGCCCTTGGGCTTAGATTCAGGCAATGCTTCAAAATTTGGGGATGTAGTTCGGAATGGCTGTAATGTAAGGGCTCTTAGTGCTGCTTTGTATTATGGAAACACTTAAGGAGTGACAAAAACACCTAAGGAAACTCCAGTTAGGCCAAAAGTGGGTGCACGCTATTAAAGCCTGGCTCAACAGAGCTTTTAGGTGCATGTTCCAATCCCTGCTCCTTGGGCACTTCGGAGGCTGCTGCTTAAATGTGCGTGCAAAGGAACAAACAGCACCCACGTTTTGCAGTCTGCAAGTTCAGCTGAACCCTTGAGCAAGGATAATTTAACCAGATAACTGTATCGGGCCCTTTATTAAAAGCACGTCCAGAGAGTTGGAATGGGGCAAGGAAACAATATGTTCATTAAGCTCTGGCCTTGGCTCCTCAGCGCCAGAGAGAGATATTAGATATTAGATCAGACTTGTCCCCTCTATCACTTTTGCAAGTGAAATCAGCCAATACTGCTGATTTTAAAGCAGACTTTTGCTTAAAACTTTCTACCTTTCATTTTAAAAGTCCTATTTTTAAATGCCACATAGGCCTGCAGGAAAGCTTAAAGAAAGAAGGGAGAGATTTCTGACAGATGGCCGAGGATCTAATTTAACAGCTGGTGATGAAAAGTGAGAAAGTAATTTTTTAAAAAATTATTTTATAGGAATAAAAATCCCCAGTAGAATCTCCCAGACTGAAAAGATGCTTGAAATTTGTTTTTGTGACCTTGTAAACTGCCTTCTAAACACGGTGTTGAATAGGGCTCATTAGAACTAGCAGTTGTGTCATTTACTCAGCTCCATCATAATATTGGTGGTCTCCGAGTTACTGTTGCTCTCCCTGCTGTAGGAATGATTTTCCGCTCTCCCTTTGGAATTTTCAAGTAGGAAAAAGCTACAAATTCCTTTTTCTTCCCCGTGCCTCCCTAAACAACTGGATTTGGGCTTCCCGACTGTCCGACCCTCCATCAAGAGCAGCAGTTATAGGTTTCCACTTTGTAGGGCACGTGATCAATTGCAACGAGCCATTTGGTTCCGCGCGGTTTTCCTTCTGTGGCCGGGATTAAACGCAGCCCATTTGCCGTTTGTTTATTTATGAGGTGTGTTTAAGCTGACCTTGCAGGTCTCTTCCACCCTCCCCTTTTACAGGCCTCGAGACAGACTGCAGAAATCTTATTTTATATAATGCAGATGGACGTAATGTAATCAATAAGGTGTTGACAGTGCTGATTTAAAAGGGGGGAAATTAAATCCTCTTTCAGGTCAGCACTGTCAGCCTTCAATTCCTGTTGCATTTTCCCTGGGGCTCTTGGGCTATCTCTGCTTTCCATATTGCCTGATTATATTCTTCCTTTCCACTGTATTAGCTTTAGTTCTGTGGCTGCAGAGTCTATTTGGGAAATTGGGAATGGGGTTGCAGCTGGGGTATTTTTTAAAAAACCTTTTCCTTAATTTTTTTCCCCCAAATACATAGTTGATAGCAAGTGCATAGCTATTTTTGTGGTATAAGTTTGATGTCAGAAAGGAAGAAACATCAATGTTTTTCCCTTTATTCCAACTTTTTGCTCTGTATCAGGTCTCTCAGTTCTTGTTTCCTATATAGTATGAAGAGCCCTCTTAATTCTGCTTTTGTATGCTCTATGTTGACATTACCTTTTATTTGTGTACATAAATATATTTCAAATATTTTTCAGTATATTTCTATATTTTTTTATATTTCTCAAAATACCAGTTTTTATCAGATAGTGTTTGAAGCGTATTGGTTTTCAGGGCAAATTTGTGTCAGCAAAGACCTTTATTTAAAGGCGGGTTCTTGGGTAGAATTAATATCTTGGGAAACATCACGATCTGTGGATTCCTAAATCCTCTGGAATGATAAATTCCGTAGGGCAGAGCTCCGCTTCCCAGTGGTTGGGAAATCTCCAGGCACAACAACAGCGCTGTATAAATAATATACACCAATAAATCAGTTAGCAGCAGCTCTCGCCCCTAAATTGGGGTCAGAAAGAAAATTCATTCGAGGGGGAGGCAGCAGGGAAAGCTGAAATGCTCCATGGCCCCTTGGGGCAGCAAACCTAAAGATCAGGCCTGGTGTTTGATTTAAAAAATATATAGGCAGCCCCAAATGACTTATCTGCCAAGCAATTAAGTGTCGGCTGTGAGGAGCGTGGCCTTCAGGACACCTAATGTCCCCTGCTCACGGGTGGCTTTTGAATCAGCAACAAATTTGTCACCCCCTCGTGTCCTCCTCGAGGACAGCGATTAATCTGCGTGTCGGCAGCGACCAGATGGCCCCAAAAACCATATTAGATTTTGTAGTTATTTTTCCAGCCTCTCTCAACCCCCAGGAAAGGGCCCAATGTAGCCCTATAGCACAGCTCCCTGCTCTGCTTTGCCTTTAATGTTTACAAAACCGCATGGCAGTGTTTTATGTAAACGTTGTGCATATATACACGTATATACACATATTCCAAACCCACCTTGCCCATCCTCGTGGCCAGGAAAAATCCCCACATCTGAAACATAAGCCTGATTTCCAGGTCTCCACCTGAATCAGGATAATTTGTTGCTGAAAGTAATCAGCCATCCTCAAGATAACATATAGATAACATATAGATAACATACCTCAAAGGTCACTTATTTCTGTACTCGTTTATTAGCTGAGCCCAGTAGTGCTGCAAGGTGAGTGCATTTCTTACAGCTGCAGCTGAGCTCTGGTATCAGTGAATCATTTGGCTCCATCTGCCTCTATTTTATTTATTTTATTTTATTTTCTGGCTGTTTCCGTATGAATGAAGGTCAGTGTTTTGCAAACACCATAGGCAGGTGCTGTGAACGTTACTTCCATAATTGTAAGAGGAATGCCATGCTCGGAAAAATAAGCAAGCCGCTAGGTAAGAATTCCTGTTTAATTGTCTGTGTTTCTAGATCTAAATCGGATTTGAAAATTTCTGAGAATCTGTCGGTTTTGAAGGTCAAGTTGTTGTGTAATGAAATTTGCAGACGAGCAGGAAAGTTGAGTGAAACAGCTGCATTTTGTTTCTGTCCTTGGGCAGCCCTGTGTTCCTGGCAGATTTTCGGCATTAAAGAGATTGGCTTGTCAAAAGGAAATAGCATTTTTCTGGATGGAAAATACTCGTAGGAACCAGCTTTCTGATGAGCAACGCAAGCGGAATTGCCATCCCTTTGAGGAGTTGTACACTGGATTCATTTGTGATCCAAACTGGTCATAAAGATGTAAATCTGGGCTTTTTCAATCTATAATCTGCAATAGCATCCCTTTGCTAAGCTCCTAGTTTCAATAGGGATGCGTAGGAAGGTGGATCTGGATCCAACCATCCTCTTCCTTTCATTCCAACGCCGTGAAGCTCTTGTGGGATCATTTCTTGAGCTTCTTTTAATACAGCTGCCAAACTGCCAAACCCAGACCTTTGGAAACCCTCAGCAAAGGCCACCATGCCCTTTTCAAAACCGCGAGGTTGACTTGAAAATCGTGGGAGTTTACGTTTCTCCCTTGTCCTGAAGTTTTGGATTCTGGTTCTGAAGCCTTTGCAACCAGCAGGTTAAAATCGTGCATTTATTTTTCTTTATTCCTGCGATGCCTTTTTTATGGGAACAGAAATGAAGCCGAGTACAAAATTAGGTGGGATATGACTTTGTACCTCCGCCGTCCTGTTATTATGGGCGTTAATTACCTCGTTCTTAGCTCCGTTAACGCAGCACAAAGTCAATGGAAATTCTTTGGCCCGGTTACTTGTAGGAATTTCATTCCCGAGGCTGCTCCTTGCTGGGGAGCGAGGCAGCTTTTGAGGGGATTTGCTGCTTTCTGCAACAGAGATATTAAATACCATGTTTCCTCTTTCTGACATTAATTTGAACCTTGTAGGGTTTATTGGGCTTGTTTTCCATTTCTCTGCACTCTCCTTTTTTGGCATCTTTTGAATAACGCGGAGTCTCCGCTGGCTTTTCCAGGCCTGTTCTGCAGTGCCTGCACAGGCACTTTATATGGCCTGCAGGCACCACTTTTAATGCCACTCTTGTTTTACTTCTTGTCATAGGGATGGCCTGAGAAGCATTCACGAATATTTTCTTTCCTTTTAATTTTGAGCCTCTGATCTTCCTGTGGGCTTAAAATTTCCTTTGTGGGGATATTTGAAAGACAACCCTATATCTAAGGGGAGTTTACCTGATAGAATGAGATCGGTTCGAGCTCATCCCTGCAGACTGGGGGCAATTGAAGGCTCTTGTGGTGGTAGATAGACCAGGAAGAGCTATGAGAGCCAAGGGATCAGGCCTTGGGACATCAATTGAGGTTGTTTTAGGCAAAATAATGCAGAGACAACTGAGCATCAAGTGTGTATGTTTCTTTTGATAAGGCTAATGTTGTTTGCCTGGGCAATATAGGCTGAAACGTATAGAAAAAAATCCTTATTTTTCTGTGTTATTTTTCTGTGTATAAATTATGCAGTAACGAAACAAAAGTATCTGATTGATTATCTGATTATCTGATCAGATTTTGTCCTGCTTGTATAAGGAGAAAGCAGAAGCCTACAGGAGCCTGCAGGATTTGGAAGCCTTTGTCACACGAGCCGGTTACCTGAGCACCACGACCGAGCTGTAGATCAGGTTACCTGGAGTTTGTCACCCAGTATCAAACCTTCCTGCTCTTTCTCTTTGCAGAATGATGAAGTCCTCTGTCCACGCAGAAGAAGATGACTTTGTGCCAGAGCTGCAGAGGAGCATCCACCCCCGCGAGAGGCCGGACTGGGAGGAGACTCTCAGCGCCATGGTAAAACACCCTGTTGCATTTTATTTTATTTATAGATTTGATATGCTGTGTTTTCAGTCCTGAGCAGCTTCAGGATAACCTGCACTGCTGGGTTTTCTTTCTTAAATGGATTACATGCTACTTTCAAGAATATTGAGATGCTTCTCTTCCTCTGGCAATTCATATGAGAGAGAGAATGAGCACGCATATGCTTCTGCCCTATTAAAGTGTGCCCCAAAGCAGCTCTGCTAACAAATTAAAAGGTACATCATGTCACAAGGATTTTCAGTTCGCATTAACCTCTTTGCCAACGAGAATTTTGAGCACGATGGAACTTTTCAAAACCTGCTCTTTGAAGCATGCAGCATCGTGGAAAAGGAGCGTTTTAGCAAAACGTTGGCCAAGTCTACAGCAAAAAAAATAACATTAGCCTGAAAGCTGGCGGGCTGTCAGACCAAACAGAATTGCAGAAAGGAAGCACAAAGGTCCTGAGCTTAATGAAGACAGCACGTGTGGGCAGTGGGCCACGGAGAAGCGTGTGTATTTATTGGGTTTCTCTTTAAACAAGTGAGCAAAGCACCCGCTGTCTCCCTTCCCAACTCCCACCAGCATTTGCAGAGCCTGAAAAGTCACTTTCCAAAGCTTTTTTCTTAAAACAAAGATCTTTCCAAGAGTGTGGAGATTGAGTGTCCACCTGCACTGTGAATATAGTAGGGCAGAAACTATTTTTAATGTTTCTGGCATAAATTCTGGGCACCTGAGTAACTTTGATGCTACTTTTATCATCTTTGCATTCAGCATTTGTACTTTGATCTGCGTTTTTAAACTTCTTGTTAGTGTTTATTCTCCAGCAAGGATCTAAGTCATTTTGCACTGGGGATCTGGCTTGTTTGGGGCATTTCTGGTGGTTCTTGAGACCTTGCAGTATTTATGAAATCCTGTGCAGTAAAACTGAAGAACTAGATAGAGATGCAACTCTAGATGGACAGACTTTATAGGATTAGATACAAGGACAGCTGCCCAACCGATTCTCAAGGACTGTCATATTTTACATCTCCCCCTACTTATGTTGTGTAATTTTAGAAATTGGTCTTATTAGTCACATTATTTTTCTCATTGTCTCAGGCTTCTATTCCCACTGCACAACTGGCCTGCTGGGTAACCTTCAAACATGTCATTTTTGCCTTCTCTGCTCCAGTTTGGAAAATGGAGTTGATGATACCGACTTTCTTTGTAAAAACCTTTTGACTCCTAGAGAGGAAAAGCTGTATTTGAACTGAATCATTTTGCTGGGTATATATTTCCTAAAATTTCTCTGAAATAGGTAGGATGCTTTAAAGGAAAAGAACCTCTCTGTCTTGCAGGGAACTGAGGAGTATTTTTATCAATAATTCCTCATGCAACTTCCTTTGCAACTTCCTTTGCATTCCTTTGCAACTCTGCAAAACAGCTGTCCTCAGCCTGTCATTAACTTTAGCATAAATTGGTATTTTTCTGTAATATTACAGTTTCCTTCTGTTTTTGATCATCTGACTTGTGCTCTGCACCTCTTTATGCAATCCCTAATCCACAGTGTTTTAAAAACTCATAGCCTCTAGCACACAGCACTCCCCATCTCTGTCCCTGCCTCTCTCTTCCTCCGTTGCCTTTTTCTCCCATTTGTCTAATTTTTGTGCAGAGCAGGGTTAAAAGAGGAGCTATAAACGTCTTCATTTCTGCACCCTTTTCATGTTCTGCAGTCACAGGAAGATGCCACCATTTGGAAGCTGCCTTTGACAGGCAGCCCTGCACAGGAGATAAGGTGAAAATACTGAGTCCAGAGCTAGAAACAGGAATTTTTAAATATAAATATTTTGGGTAAAAAATCCTGTGATGACAGTGCTTTCTTCACATGAATCCTGGCAAGTGTAGTGTCTTCAGCTTTTGATACTTGCCAAGGTAACATACCATGGTTCATGCAGATAACGAAGGCTTTTAATGAGACCTCAATATATCACTCGGTTAAATCTGGGGCGGGAGTGAGGAGAAAGCTATTTTTAAACTCAATTTACAAAAACGTGTGGATATTAGTGAGTTGTAAAGGTTTAAAGAAGGATTTTACCCTCCTGTGGTGCCTTCTTGTTGTACAGCAGCGTTGCGGTCTTGACAGTGGCTTCTTCAGCAGTTGGTAGAAAGAGCAAAAGTGCATAATTTTTTGTATCATTTTTATTTGATTTTATTTATTTCTTAATGCTGAAAGCATCCAGCACGTTTCTGAGTGTGTCAGCTAATGCAAATCCCTGTGGGAACCGTGTCAAGATCCAGAGGGAACCCAAGGCACATCCCTAAATAAGGGAGCTGCTTTTTGGCACGTCCCCATCAGCCCTTGGTCTCTTTTACTTGATTGCAGGGCACGGGGCTGATCAAGCAGGTAAAGCCGATGGCTCTGGAGGGCTCCTTTTTTGGATACTCCCACTAGCCCTTTCCCAAAGTGCCCAAGTTCCCAAAGGCATCAAAATGTATGTTGGGCACTTAAGGCCACGTTGATTAAGTCAGGAGGGAGCCCAAGTGCCTGTGTTTATCATACTTATGTGGCAAGGAAGGCCCGTTTTGCTTCACAGAGCTGCTGTTTGTGTGAAATGTACTTACTGGGGAGATAAAAATCATAGACTTGATAATCTGGCAGCTTTTCCTAGCCCCCAGCTGCTTGAAAGCAAGAGGGAACATTCAGGATTGGGAACGGATCGGGAGGGAGGCTATAGGGGCTTTGCAGCCGGTGCTTTTTCCATTAAGACCTGGAATTATTTGTCACCCTAGAAGCTTCGTTTTCGTCAGCTCTTGTCACCTGCCTGTGTGAGGATACGTGACCTGCTGTGCTCAGACAGGAGTCTTGCTTTGCCTCCTTGCAAAATGGGAAATTGCTGCTCTTCTGAGTCGCGTGAGCGAGTGGATCAGCCCTGCGGTGTCCGTATGGGATGGCAGGAGAGGGGCAGGTCTGCGCCCCTATAGTCCCTATATTGCACAAAGGGCCTTAAGAGGCGCCCTGGCCGGCAGGGAGCTCTCCCAGGACAGCTCCAGTAACACCCTTTGTGGGATGAAGTGCTGGGAAGTGGATCACTGAGCTAATCTCATTTAGAAATAAGCCTCCAAAAGAAGTCCAGCTTCGCTTTTTCTTCCTAATCCGGGTTGTTTCGTGGGCTTGTAGCCACTGAAACAGGACATAGGAGGCCAGCAGTGTTCGTGTTGCTCAGTGTAAAAGCAGGGGAGTTTTAGGGGAAAGGTTTTCCCTCTTTTGAGGGGAAAAGATCCCTCATTTTCACATAATCCTGCCCAGTTCCAGTGACGGAAGTTGGAAGTGCCAGAGCAGGGTGTGTGATCGCAGGCCAAGCACTCGATAAAACCTGAAGAACTTAAAACCTTTTGCTTTGTTCAGAGGTTTCTGGAGAGCTGGTGGTATAAGCCTCACGCTACGGGTAAGCACATTTCTCACATTACTGTGATATTAAAAAGGGGCACGAAATAAGGGCGCCCTATACCCGCTGCGTGTTTCCTTTCATTAGGATCACAATTTTTCTAAAGGAAAAACTGCCTTTGGCTCGACCATCTACTGGCATCGAATGTCATTCGGGCTGCTGTTTTCGCTGTTTTCCCAGTCTTCCAGCCACGGCAGTGGAAAAATTCCTTGGTTTCTGACCCAATGCATACGTATAACATAACCTAGCAGTGCCATTTCCATAGCCCCTGAATACGGTCGCTTTACTGAAGGGGCATTTGCTCCTTGATGCCTGAATTAAGCGCGGGAGCTTTTGTTCCTGGAGAAATCACATTCCTGCATAACCACCCGAATCCCAGGACCCCCCTTCCCGCCAGGAAACAACAGGCTGGAGAAACGGAGCACGGAGCAGGACGAGGGCTTCGTGCGTGTGTGTCTTGGAGCCAGAATCCAAGCCCTGCGCTCGTCGCGTCTTCTATTCGCTGGACCTTTTTTTTTTTTTTTTATTTTTCCCCCCTTTTTCCCTGAAATTTGCTTTGTAAGCGGTACAGAAGGCGGCCTCTCGACTTGGCCGCCTTTCCCACGCATATTGTCTGTGGGATTTTTGTTTTTAAAGCAAGTGCATTCCTTAGCTGTTCTGCGAGGCGCTCCGCTGTGCCGCGCGCCGCGATCCTTGTCCGTGCTCTCCCTTTTGTTTCCCTGCAGCAGGATCGAGTCCAGCCGTAAAGCTCCCAGGTAGTTATCATGCCAGGGGTGTCCTCAGGAACTAACCACTCGTTTTGGACTTGCTGCACCCAATTTTGTCTCGGAAGCAACTGGTAGCTCTGGAAGAAAATCCAAGCGTGGGTCCATTTTGCTGGAAATAACCTCCATCCCTCTCAGAGGGGTTGATCCATCTGCATGGAATCGGTGCAAGTCCAGGTGTCCGTTTAAACCCTTTTAGGAAGTTTGGCCTTGACATAAAATCCACCTATTTTGCGGAGACAAATTTTATTTACAAGTGGTAACGACGCTGCCAAAATGAGTCCCTGCTGCTGCCAAGGTGGTTCCTTTATGTCTCAGGCTCAATATACAAAATAAACTGTACATGGAAACACACAAGAGCTTACACGAGCTCTTACACAAGAGCTAGAGATGATTTTAATCCCATATCTGTGAACTAGATCTACGAACGCAGCAAACTTCATTTCAAAACTGCTCCATTAGTCGTCGTGAATCTGTGCGTTGCTCTATATAGGCTCTTTCTTTAAATTATGCTAAGTGCTTGACCTGGACTTAACTCTACAGGACTAAAGCTCTGGAATGAGAGGCTCCCCTTAATTTGCCAGCCCATGGCAATGCTTAAAAGGTTTCCCTTATGTTTTTTTTTTCCTTTGGAGAAGAGGAGCTGGGAATAGAAACACACATCCTGTGTGGTCTGGTGAAAGAAAAGAATAATTTGCTGCTAACTGTGCCGTGCAATAAGCACTGCCTTGAACAATTCGGCATTGACAGAGGACGTGGAAAATGAGATTAAAAGTCCCAAACTCAAAAGAAAAATACGGCCCATTAAATTATCTCATCTATTAATACAGGTTTTCCAGGTCCAGGGATTAGGAATGCTCATAGTGCCAAGAGTTTCAGTACGTGCCCGTCTTTTGCTGTCTTTCCTCTATCCCATTGCACATTGGCTGCATGATTTAAAAGGCTGGTCTAGCTGGGTCACTCCACTTCTCCACATAGGCTTTTTTTGCCTATATGTTGAGAAAATGAGCCAGAAAAAAATGGATTTTCCTTTCTCCAGCCCCATCCCAAAAGCAAGTTTGCACTGGGCAAGGAGCCGAGTGGAGGCTAAAGGAGGTGGGTACAGAGGCCTCCTGGATGTGAGAGGAGAGTCTTGGCTTGGCAGTTTTGCCTCTTTCCGAGTGGATTTTGAACGTGCTGGTGCTGCACTCTGCTGCCCAGCCCGTGAACAGCATGGATTTTCCATCTGGGGGAGATAAATTGGGAATTAGAGTCGTTTCCCTTCTCTGCTATCGCTGCTATAGCCCAATAATTTGGTATTTTTGTTTAGATTCTCAGAGCCAGTGCTCTTTCATTTTAATTCTGTTCCAATATCTTAAGCAATTGCAGGACAGTTTCTTTTAAACAATGCAAGGACTTGAGACTTGAGAAGGGTGGATGGACAGACAGGAATTCTCCCCAAATCTCTCATCCTGGGAGCAAAAATAAACAGCCTGGAGCTCCCGATGAAGCCGCTCACCTGGATTCTGCCTCGAACCTTAATTTCTTTGCTGAGTTTTGGACCAGAGCACGTGGACGCAGCAGGGACCCTAAAACTGGACTAAAGACCTTTCGTGAACAGATTTGCTCAGCAATTACTGGGTTTCCACAGGACGGTGGTGCATAGAAAACAAGGACCAGGAGGAAGCGAGTGAGGATGCTGGCTGGCTCCTTCTCCCACGTAAATAATTCAGCTGCTTCAAAAGGATTTTTAATATTAAATTACCGTGACTCGAAGCGCAAAAGATGACAAATCTTATCCTGAACGTTTTGTTTGTATTTTGAGAGAAGGGTGATCTAGGATGACAATTGGCAAGACAGGTTTTTGATCAAAACAGGTGCGAACTAATAGTGAATAAAGCGTGCGTTTATGCAGCTGGGTATCTTTGCTTAAAGGGATAGCAGCTGCAGCTTATTTTGGAGTAGCATTGCTCGTAAAATTGCAGTAAGTTTTAGCTTGCTTTATTTCTTTTTCCTTATCTGTCTATGGGGTTAATTTGGGGCCATTTGAGCCGTTTTCTTTGACTGTGAGACCCCCCGGGAGGCTGCTCTTCTGCAGGAATCGAATTGGAGGAGCATCCCAAATGAACGCGGATGCTCCAGCGGGAGAAGGGATCCCTGCTGGTGCAAAAGCAAGGGGCAAAAATCCCTTTCCAGCAAGGTTTGGACCTCACTCCATTGGGAAGGAGAGAATAATACGACTTTTTCAGAGAGATGCTACCGTTTAGGTCTTGGAGGTGTGGGTTTTGCCCACGCTGCTTTGAGTCAGAGCAAGGGTAGGCTCTACCCACTGCTGCAAGTTGGCCCAAAGCCCATCTTTTTCTGCCACTCTTGTTTACCCATTTTGGTATCCCACCAGCTTCTCCTGCTCATGAAAATGAAAAAAAAAATTTTCTTCCTACAGAAATTCTGTTCCTTGGCAAATTAAAGCTGGCACATCCAGCTCTGCCTCAAAACCGCTTACAGAAATGGCATATTTATTACTGCAATTAGTTATTTGCTTATGTAGAAGACCTGTAAGGTTTATTAATTTGGAGATCCTCTTAATTCACAATGAAACTCTCAAGCATCTTACTAGATACTCAGTAACCGGGTACCTAATACCAGTCAGTCAGCCAAATATGTGTTTATTTAGGGATATCAGTGTTGGGTGAACGGCTGGTTTGGAAATCAGGTACTTAACGAAGAGCCTAATGTAGAGTTTAAAAAGTATCTTAGGCTCCTGGCCCTGGAAATCTCTCCTTTTTAGGCCAAAGAGGAGTAACAAATAAGATACTGCATCTCCCAGTGATTACTAAGAATTAGCAGGGCTCTACAACGGGGTTTAAGAGGAGATAATCACATATTAGGTCATATATAAAGTTCAGGTTTTCAGTTAAAAAGGCTGAAGTGCAGTTTGGAAGCACATGTGAGATTTGAACGTACACACACGTGTGAAAACACACACATATGTGCATTCACATACCTGTTATCTAACTGTTAAGGTGCTTTCCTTTTTGTTGCAGGCCAGAGGTGCCGATATCCCCGACATCCCCGGGGAGCTGCCGCTCCGGGCGTGTGGCAGCACAGCAAGTATGAAAGTGAAGAACGTGAAAAAGTAAGAGCAAGTTCTTGGCTTTTCCTTCGCCTTTGAAAGGAAGTGCTGCTCCTTTTACATTTTGCCCCATACCTGTCCTTTGAATGAGTTTTTCACTTTATTTTTTAGGGTTTTTTTTTTCTGCTCTGATATCCGATCTTTTTTCTTTCTTTCTTTCCCTGTGGGCTCACATTCTTTAACACTCTCTCCCACAGAATGTAAATGAACTTGCTGTGCTTGTAGTAAAGGTTTCTAGCCCCTAAACTGCCAACAGGCTCCAAAATAATCGAAATTCCTCGCCCTGCCTTTGCTAATAAGGCTGATTTGAGGCCTTGCAAGTGCCCAGGCCTGCTCTGGGCATTCACATCACCTCTCTGTAGCGCTGTGAGGGAAATGGCTCTTTGTTCTAGTGCTGAGCAGCCAGATGCTGCATCTCCCTTCCCACTTCCATTCCCGTGGGAAGAGGGAGCTAGATAATGACAATCTCATTGGCTCTCCACCAGCAATATCTATAGGAGGCTATAATAGCTTCAGCAGAAGCGAGAGCACGTTGCAGAGCCAGAGGATCTCCCCGTCAGCCATCGCTGTAGCTGGAGACACTCGGGAATAATTATGCCTCGCTTCTGAATTTTACAAAGGCAAAGGATAAATAGCGTTTGTTCTGCACCCTCAGATACCTCACCCCGGGACTGATGGGCTGTGATGCCTTTCACAGGTAAAGTGCTGCTTTCCTACGTGTCTCGTGTAAGGCTGCTCACTTGTGCTGCCAACGCTGCGTTTGGGAGGGCACAGCGGCTTCTCCCTGCACCCCTCCTCACAGGCACGAGCCCGGGTGGCGATCGAACGCCACGCAGCTCCCGAAGGCTGCAAAGCCAAAAGCCTCTTTGCCGTTTAGTTTTCCTTCCTCCGCGGTGTCGGTGCCTCGTGTCAGCAGCCCCCTCTGCTTCCTCAGCTTCAGGGGGAGCCCGGCCGCGTTGTGGAGCTGCGTTTTGGGGCAGCGCTGGCTGGCGAGCGGCGTCTCATCCCGGGCTTTTCCTGTGCCTCAGGTTGTCCTTCACCAAGGGGCATTTCCCGAAGATGGCCGAGTGCGCGCACTTCCATTACGAGAACGTGGACTTTGGCAACATACAGGTGAGTTTCACGGTTCTCTTGCCTTCCAAACAGCATCGTGGTCGTCTGGCTTGGGGGAAGCTTCCAAAGGGCTTTTGCAAAGTGTTCAAGGATGGGAAGTTAAAACCATAGGGTCTCTCTGTTTGGAGCTGTTGGATGTATTGGAGCAGAGCGTGTTCCCACCTGTGTGGCCACCCCTTGGCGCTTGGAAAGGGATTTTATTTCCATGGGATGTGATGATGTCACTGCATCCAACAGTCATCACTGAGCTGCCTGTAATAACTGCCTATGTGTTTTAGCTTGTGTGTGTGTGTTTTATCAGCTCTGCACTGTGCATTGCAGCAGCTGGGTCGCCAGAATATCCCCCAAAATTGCTCAGAGTTGCTTTTCCAGAGGGATGCAGGCTTATTCCCTTGTGATCCCTGCAACAGCAGCATTTCCAGTGAGCACTACCAGGGCAGAGCTGAGGAGCAGGAACCCCTGCTTGTGATCCGGGCACACCGTGTTCCACGCTTCCCAAAACAGGGATGCCTCCAGAAAGAGGCTACAACCTTTTCACTCATATAACATTACCTGTAACACAGTGAATTATTTACTGCCTTTTATGCTTCCCTACTTGACAGGCAAACAGAGTTATACATCCTTTTATTTTCCCTCTTATTTTTTTTCTCCCCAATCTCTGGAAAATTCCTACTGGGAAGGTGTGCTCTGGAGTTTGAGTCCTGTTTAAAATCAATCCCTCCCTGGGGAAGGCAGTCCAGTTGCAGAACATGAAGAAAAGAAACAGCAAAGAAGTATCCAGGGTTAATGCCTAATTCTACTTGGTGATATCCAAGTAAAGGCGAATAGAGAATAGCAGTAGGCTGAAAAGATGTAAATGGCACCTAATAGCAAGTTACTGCTTTGCATCTCACGGGGCAGTGGGTGTAAAACTCTCCAAATCTATTCACTGTTAAAAATTTGCATGGTAGAAATGCAGCATTATCTGCCTGATAGCGTCGGGAATTGTGTAACGCTGTCTGTTACCAACCTGGCCAGCTCTCAAACTGTTTGGTAACGTCTGTGTCACTTATAATATGGTCTCGTCGTGCAGTGCGTGTTAATATCCTGGCATTTCACATTAGGAGATTGTCTGAAATTAACTCTGTGACATGTATAAAAATGGCTCCGTTCTCTTATGAGGCGCATTTTGGCCTGTTTTCCTCTTCCAGAGATGCTCTGGGGCAAATTCAGTTTATTAATACAAAGCCACCATTACTTGATTGCTCTACAGGGCACCTTAACATTCGGTTAAGCACCAAGCAGGGAGTGTGAAGTCCTTGGGGTCTCTCCCAGGTCTTCTGCTAACATTTAACACCTTCAAGCAAAAAACCTAGTCGTGTGTTTAGTTAAAGCCCCTAAATTATAGCAGTGTGACTTCAGAGAGGGTGTTTAGCATCCAAGGCAGCTCGTTGAGTTTAAGCCGGATTTCAAGGCATGCCAGTGCAAAAGCTCGATTCTTAGGGGTCGGGGTGTTCCTGCACTAGACATTGCAGCGCAGACAAGTTATACCAAGTGGAATGATATCAGAAAACACACCAAGAGAGGAGGAAACGTGCCGTAACGCGTAGCGACGTTGCAGGAGCCTTGTCCTGTCCCCGTGCACGCGCGCTGGCTTCGCCGCAGCCTTCTAGGAATAAAGCCAGGAGAAGCGGATACGTCAGAGCGGGGCTGGATCAGCCTTCCCGGGAGATCCTCCCCTTATCCAGCCTCGCGAGCGGCAGCAGCCCCTTATCAGCGCTCAGGAAGCGTTGGAGGCGGAATCGCTTCCGGCGGCGGCCGCCCGGAATTCCCGGCGGGATGCGGTCTGAGCCTGCAGGAGGGTTTTCCTGTTGGGTTGTAAGGGCTGGAAGCGTTGCAGGGGTCTAGGAGCAAAGCCTTTGGGAAGACCTTCTTGGGGTCGTCTTTTGGCTTAATTTAATTCTGTTAAAACACCCCCTGGAAAGTGATGGGAATGTCCTTTGAAAGTCTCTTCCATTAATTAATATTAATACATTTTCTTACTATAACACACTGCAAAGGAATTTTTCTCTTCCATCTCCAGGTGTGTTAGTGTCTATTTGTCTTGCTCTGACATGAAATCTTCCCTTTCTCCACACCAAGGCCTCCCTCTCCCTCTTCCACATGGTTTCTTTCCTTTGCCTTCCAAAGTGGTAGGGGATGATGTTGCAAGGGCTGCTTTAAGGACGTGGGTATATAAAAAACAACCGTGTTCATAATGTATGTGGAAACTGTTTCTAATAACTTCATAATTCCAGCCACAACTCCCTGAAAATTGACGCAGCCTCTTGCCAAGATCAACAAATTTTGAAAATTCGGAGGCCAAGCTTCTCAATGCCCCAAAAGTTAGGAAAATATTCGAGTAAGTTCACCTCAGTTGCTGGATTCTTATATTGCCCAGTCTCACTTCCAGCTTGCCACTAACTCCTCCAAAGAATTCCTCCTGGCACAAGATCACACCTGTGAGATTCCTGTTTTTTGGTCCTCTTCCAGGGAAACCGGGAGAAAATCCCTCATGGGTTTTACAAGAGAGGGATAACTTCATGTACAGAGGTGCTGCTAGCACATTTACTCTTTATTTTACAATTGGGCACAATTACATTCTAATGGTCCAGATTCACATCAGGTGTCTTATCATTTGGTGCAGCCCTCCCAAAAAGTGACAAAATGCCATTTTCCAGCAAGCCCCTCCGCTGTCCCTGCGTTCCTCGTTTTGACTATTCCCCCTTGTGCAAATTGGGATTAAACTTGTTCAGGCTTCAGTATCTGAACACAGGTATCTTCTACTCGTTGCAGGCCAAATATTTTCTGGCAGAGCCAAAATTATCCCAGGGAAATCGGGGCTTAGTTGGCTCCTCTTTGCAAGTGAAGCCTTCTGGCACTCAGGTTTGTCAAAACTGACCTCCTGCAGAAATCCAGATTATTTTTCCCACCTGCATTCAACACTGAAGATACAGCAAGAGTATTTGTGCAGCTTAAGTTTTTACACATGTAAAGTAAATCTTAAAAGAGACCATAAAAGCCCCACTGTTAACTTTGGCATCGACCCGCTGCTGTCTGCTGCTATCGTAAGTCATCTTTAGCACCATGCCCCAGAAATGTAAAAAAATAATAATAATAATTTTAATCAGTAACTGAAGAGAGTTGTGTCGGAAAAATTCTCTTCCTGGAGGTTTAATGACTTGCAAAAGCAGGAAGATCTGTTATGTGTATCATTAAAATATATTAAAAATTCAAAAATAATCCCTGTGCTCCGGGAAAATAATCGCTATTTCACCAGCATTTTATACTTGCAGAGAGAATTAAAACTCTTACACTTATATATATAGTAACTCCCCCTGTTAAGAAGACTGCTGTTAAAATACAACACACTGTGGCACTCGTAGATCTTGTGTGCCAAGAAGGGCTGGTTTTATTAACCAGCAAACTTGGTGGTGTTCTCATGGCTGGGCTTTATAGTGACGAGGGGGGTTTGTGCCCCACCGTGGAGGGGAGAACACAAAATTACTCAATATTTACTAAATTACTTGCCGTGTGTTTTCAGGTATGTATTTTCAATACATATCTTCATTTACTTCAAATAGACACCTTTATTTACTCCAAATAGGATATGTCTAGATAGTCAGGCTTTAAAATGACGGATTATGGACAAAGTTTCCAGTTTTCATCCTGAAGTAGTTTAAAAAAAAAAAAAGTTATTTTTCACAATGTAAGCTCATGATTTTCGTTCGAAATTCTGGTCAACTAAGGAATAGTTCTTTATGTGCCAAGTCCTGCAATAATTATAGCTGCAGCCTGGAGTGAGCAGGGAACCCAGTGGCAGCTGGAGCCTCAGAGAAGACGGATTTACATGGAAGAGGGTGAGTCATCCTATAGGGACATCAGGGCTGTGGAATACTTAGGCCCTGTGAGGCTGAGGAGGAACCAAGGCCCCTGCCACGACCCTTGTCTTGTGGCTGGCTCCAGGTTTGATCCAACATCAGGTTTTTCCATTTGTCTAAAGGGCAAATAAGACTCAACTCAGTCTGGGAGCTCTTCCCGGGAAGCCAGAGCTGAGGCTAGCACGTGAATTCTGAATTATTGATGGATTTTAGCAGTTACTTGTGCACTTTGAATATAGACAAGCTCTATTGTTTTTTTATTTCCCCTGGTACATGAGCTCTGCATTTCTTCAGGCTCTTTTAAACCTTCCTTTATTCCTCACTTTCTAGCTGCTTTAAGCTAAGGTGATTTTAAACTCGATGTCCTTCCTTGAGCTGTGAAGATGCTCAGCCTCTCCCATCTAAAAGATCCCTAATAAATATGGAGCCACAATTCCTGATGGGAGGTGGGAAGTGGGCGTGCAAATTCAGGAGCTCAGAGCTCTCCAAATGACGCGTTAATTCCTGACGATGTTTATCACAAAAGACACAGGTGATGAAATATATGCCAAGTATCTGCCACGCAGGGAATGACTTCAGTGCCAAAGCCTCAGAGAGGAGGACGCCTCTTCTTGGAGGTTTTAAGGTTATCTGTGAAGCTGAAAAGCAGCTTTATGTCCCAAATCAATATGAATCAATCACCAGACAATCATCAATACAGAGAGACATATAAATATTCAAATAATGATCATCTTACTCTGCTATAACGATAAGGAGAAGAGATTAATCAAATGAATAAAACAGACAAATAAAAAGCCATGCTCACAATCTCCAATTTGCATTGATGATGTGGTTTGCTCATTTTGCTCCAAGACAGCTGGAGGAGAAGACAAAATTTGTGCCCAAATAACATTTTTATTACCTTAATTTTTTTTGTATCCTCCATTTCTGCTTTTTTAGACCTGTCCATTTGGAAGGTTACTTCAGATCTCTCCTGAGGAAGTTAAGTAGAAACCTTTTAACAGGATTAAGTGGTGAATTAAAAAGCATTACTCATTCTGCTTCTTTCTTTTATAACAAGAAAAAACTACAACCCTTTCTTGCCTCTAAAGTGGGACCTTG